TATGCTTCTATACCATGGCTTACCACCAATATATGCGGTATCAAGCATAGTCAGGCCCCCACATCGTTTGCATCGGATTTGGTGCTACTTAAGCCCACCTTGACACCAAGCCAACCCAAGCCTCCCAACGAAACCTACTGAACCTTCCTATACCCTTGTAATTTCTTCTGCGCACCCCCAGACCCCAAGCCAACTCAAGAGGTCAAGGGTGTCAGCAGCAACATATTATTTGCGATGCGGACTTTTGGACTTTCTTTCGCAAAGATTTCGCAAAGCAAAGATCGCTCGAGATCGTGGTGCAAGGACTTCGCAACCCACAATTCGGGAATCAGAATTCAAGAACAAAGGTTTAGCAAGCATTGCACAACTATGAGGCAAGACAATTGAACCGCTTGGTTTGGCTGCGTAGCCTCCTAATCATCTCATAAGAGGAGGGGTAATCCTGAACCTAAGCGCCCTGAACAGTAAACGAGAGACTCTGGAAGAATACGATCTTGCGATCCGATCAGCCAAACATTGAGATGCGCTTAGTTCAACAGCAGAAACTCGTCTGCCCCAGACCTCACAGACCCCAACCGCCAGAAAAAGACCAGAGCTGGCTAGGGATGAGGATTGTTTGTTTTTGTTGGATGGGGGCGCAAAGGGTTCTCCAGGCAGAACGTTGAGACTGAACTTCTCAACTCCGTGACTCCCGAACTCAAAGCTCTCTACTCATTCCCTGTGAACCCTACCTCATGCCCCAAACTCCAAACACCCGAAGCCCTGAACCCCTCAATAGGCCCCACGCCTCAACCGAAGCCCGAGGTCGCTAGGCGCCGCCCTCCCAGCGAGGGACTTACGTCAGGCCGAATGCGGCTTAGGAGTCCTTAACGCCTTCGAAGCAAGCAAGCGATTCTAGGGGTATCATTGCTACTGCCAGTACTCTCGTTACAACTTGTAATTTATAGAACTATGATTATCATTATTATTACCATGCCTACTACTGTACTACTTCTAGGAACTAAAATGGCTTCTGTTTCCATTATTGGAACCCCCTAAAGCTTGGCAACTCCTGAAGCTCCGACTTCAACGAAGCCTGACATAACAAATCCCACGGAGACTTCACCGTACATCCGTACATAAATTTAGTATCACGGTTTTTTTTGGGGGGTCCTGCCTAAAGAGAATGGCGAGGAGAGGGAGGCGGCCACTCGGCTCGTTGGACTCAATCGGTTTACGGGCTCACACAAGATCTCGGGGCTCAGAGTGTTGGGGTAGAAACTTGAGGTAGTTCCAGAACTTCTGATGGTTAAAGTGTACATACCCCTTTCGGGCAAACCCTCCGCCTCCTTGTTGCTCTACGTGTTGCTACGCTCGACAGAGTGCTCGACCACTCGTTGCAACATGCTGTGGATATTCGGTGGCACTATGAGTATGTTACAATCGGTGCGTGGTTACCG